TATGAACTTTTCAAGTTATCACAACTTTGAGTCTCTCATAGAAATACATTACTTCACTTACGTCTGTACTGTTTCTGATAATTCAATTGTATAAAATCTGTTTGTCATTTGATTATTGAATAAAACAAAACACAAAAACATTAATGTAATTTAAATACACAATTATGTGCATAATTATAATCCCGGTGTAAATCAGTCATTATATAAAGGCATACATAGTGTACACCATAAGTCTTAAGCCCCATAAACATGTGGTTCACTATAACGAGTGCATGCATTATATAATATTGTTATTTATAGCATAACATTACATAACTATTATATTATTAATTAATACACTATTGAAAGTTGTTGTGAAGCACTCATAGGTATAATACACAACATATTTATACAACAAAACAAATATAAATGTTTTTTTTAATTTCTGTTGCCATAAATAATATTATAAATTGTGTTTTGTTTTGTGCGTGAAATTCGATGCATTATTTTTTATATCATGATCGAAATCACAATTATATTAAATACACGATGATTTGTTCATTTTATGTATTGAGAACTTATCCAGTTTGTTTGAAATGGAAAATTATAAATATATTTTATTAATTATCGTAAAGACAATTGTAAATAATTTTATTATTATATGAAGTAATTATTATAAATGTGTTTTAATTAAAAATAAATTTATTGAACAAAACTTTTTTTGTGTTTGATTATTAACCCACGTCTAATTGGCCTACATGTAACATGTGGGCCAATTGAAATTAATATTACAATTATTTTTATACTACTGATGAGTATTGGCTGATCAATAATTTTACAATGTCTTGATTGATTAAAAGTCAAATTTACCAAGGTGAGTCAAAATTATCATCGACTCAATAGGTGGAATAAATGTTTTGCCACATGCCTCAATTTAATGGAGGGGGGTGCATTTTCCCCCTGGGTCGCTGTGCGTTAAGTCGTGTAATTAGTACAGTCGAATTTATGGTAGAAAACCTCTTACCAGGGATAATAATCATGTTGGAGATAGTAATCTAATAAATCTTAAATACAGTATCTATCATTCTCTATCAATGATATATTAGTAATGTAAATTATGTTATATAATTATAAATAATATAATATTATTAATAATGTCTTATTGATATGAGGAGAGCGTGGATGTACACTAATAGGCTGGCCGTAGACTTTGTGTTCAATTATTAAACAGGATAATACTAATCTAACAAATGAATTATTGGACAATATTGTATTTATGTTATTAAATTAATTTAGCAATACTTTTATATATTCAATAGACTTTACATCAACTAATGTTAAGTATATTGATATGTATTGACATGTATATTGATAGATAGTAAAACGGATTTATTATGAAGGTAGTTAGGGATACCATAATCGTATTAAGTTATGTTATAAACCCTCGAGTTATTATCATTTATTGTAAGAAATATTGAAATTTAAGTTTGAAATATTGAAGTTTAATAATTGATAGTATTAAAAAGGTTTGTGTTTCCACTGGTGTTCACTGATTATAACAGTTTCTATCAAAGGTTGGCTCAAGAATTCAAGTGTTGTTAAAGACACCTGTATATTTAATAAAACAAAAAAATTACAATTTATTTTATGATACAGTTTTACTATAAACAGTTTGATTAATATTAATTGAAATAATTCATTGTTTTATAAATAATAATTTATAATTGTGCAGAAATGTGTGATTTATTGGATAAGTTCAAATTTAGTGATAAAATTCCTGTAGATATTAGAGAAAAGATTGCAAAATTACATGTGTTTTACAATTCAAATGCAGAACTTATGCAAACTTTGTCTCGCGGCGAAAGTGTGATCAGTGGCGGTGACAACGAGTCGTTTCGAACGGTGCCGTCGGTCTCGAACACCGCGCCGTCCGTCTCACAGCTCAGCATTAATAGTAACGTAGAGTACATACAAATGTCAGTGCGTGTAAAGCGGACGGGCGGTGGCTTCGGCCTCTATATCGCCGGTGGTTTGGATCAATTGCCCTATAAAAGCGATGACGATGGAATATTCGTGTCGCGCATCATTAAAGGGGGCCCGTCAGACGTGGCCGGCCTTAGGGTTGGCGATAAGATTTTGTCGGTCAATAACGTGGACTTTACCAAAATCCATCACTACAAAGCTGTCGAGAGGCTCAAAACCGCTGGAATGGACGTTATTATCATTATCATACGTGAAGTGCCGATCAAACAAAACTTAACGCTTAATGTCTCTGTCGAGCCGTCAAAGCGGTTGTCGCCTAACAAGTCGCCGCCGGTCTCAATGATCAAGTCGTCGTCCCAACAGAAGTCAGGTCCCGACATCAGTTCGCCGACAATCGGCGCCTCAACGCGTCACCCGATGACCACCGCATCTCAACCCCAAACGCCGGACTTTGATTTAAATCGACAGATCATTTACACGACACTCATTCGCAAAGAGGGAATATTGGGATTTAGAATAGTGGGTGGTATTGGCGGCACTCCCTATAAGGAAGGCTCCGAAGGCATTCACATATCCAACATTGTTGAGGGCGGGGCCGCACATCGCGACGGAAAGCTCGCTGTCGGCGATCGCGTGCTTTCTATTAACGGCGTCGATGTGGACCATCTCCGACACGAACAGGTGGTCGGTATGTTGACGGGCGTCGACCGCTTCGTCAGACTCGTTGTCCAACGAGAGGGCTCCGACGGTTTGGGCGCGAAGTCACCCAAAACGTATTATATGGCGCGTCCCTCCACCGGGCTCTACGCCTCCTCTTATATGGCAAACCGGCCCTCATATACCGGTTCGTACAGATGGCCAACACCTGAATCGGTGAGTAGTTTGGTGGACGCCAAGTCGGCGCCTCAAACGCCAACTGCTTTGGAGTTTACCATGTTATTTGTTACAACCGAGGATATGGTTTATGGTTATGGTAATAATAGCAATGGATGTCTGGGTTTGGGTCACAACAGTCCTATACTATCACCACAACTGATCCCAGAATTATGTAATCAAAACATACAATATTTTGTCAATAAATGTGATTTTGTGTTAGCAGTGAATGATATGAATAAACTCTATGGTTGGGGTAATAATGGTTTGGCACAATTGACCCGAATTGATGAACATGACCTTAATTTTTTGAAACGTTTTGCTAGTTTAGCAATTGAATCCTCATTAAAACCAGAGATGATATCATATTTTAATAATACAAATATTGAACAAATCAGTTGTGGTTCGTATCACACTCTGGCCCTCACCGGTGATGGCCGGGTGTATGCCTGGGGTGGCAATAATTGTGGACAAATTAGTTGTGGAGATAATCGTGATTGTATTTGTACACCAATTGAGTTACAATTCCCTTATATATACAAATATAAAATAAAATCTATATATTGTTATCTCTCATCTTCATTTGCCATCACAACCGACGGACATGTGTTCAGTTGGGGTGAGAATAGAGACAATCAATTGGGACACAATATAACCGATGATAAAGTATTGAAACCCCAAATGATATCAACCATAAGTGATGTGATATCTGTATGTTGTTCACAATTTGGTACTTATTTTCACACAATAAATGGATTATATTTTTGTGGCAAATATTATGAAAATGATAAACAAATAATTGAGAAAACTCCAAAACAAATACTTTCAGGAAATAAAATTCAAAAATTACCACAAATTCATTCATACAATAAAAAAATTGAATTTATTTGTGTTTTAATAAATGATAAAATATATATTATATCTGATGAAAACAAAATTATTGAACAAAATTACAGTAATTTTATTGACTTTTACGCCAATGAATGTCAAATCACTTATAATACAATTGATTTGCAAGAAATAACTGGCAAAACAATACCAACATTAATTAAAAGTGAAATTAAACATGCAACTAAAAATGATGTAAACATGGACAATGATAAATCAAGTAATGGCTATTATAACAACCAATTCATTGAGATGTCAGCCATAGGTTCGGGTGTAACAAATAACATGGTAAACTCCAAAGCAGTTGGCGTTTGAGGCGCCGACTTGGCGTCCACCAAACTACTCACCGATAAAAGCATAGATTGGATGATAAGATATATGCCGTTAAAAGAGTACAATTTGGGGGTAAATATAATTATTTGTTTTCAATAATAAAGTTAAATAAAATAAAATTAAATAAATTTTTATAAAATATTTTTTGTAGATTTAACAGAAGATAAAAAACAAAAAGTTGTGAAAGAAGTGAAAAGTTTGGCAAAACTGGACTCAAATTTTGTGGTCAAATATTACAACTCATGGCTTGAGTCCAATCATCTCTATATTCAGATGGAATTCTGTCCGCAAAGTCTTAAATCTCTTCTCACAGACAAAGTCATTGTCTTCGAGAGACAACCGGAAGACCAGATGAATGCCATCGAGTATTTCATTTCATGTGAAATATTTAAAGAGATCTTAGAGTGCGTCCAATATCTTCATGAATTAGACCCACCGGTCATTCATCGGGATCTCAAACCCGACAATATATTAATTGATCCTAACTTTATGTCCAATCGTTTTGTTAAACTGTGTGACTTTGGTTTGGCCACCGATCACGACATTGATGGACACATTGCCAGCCGATACGAGCACTCAGTTGTGGGCACAACAAGATATATCGCACCCGAAGTATATACCCGTAAATATAACCATAAATCAGACATTTATAGTCTTCATATAATTGGCGAACAGTTATATGGTATCGATCTTCAGGCGTAAGGATTTTATTAATACTTTGAATAAATATTTATTTTATAATAATTATGTAATAAATAATTAATTGTAAATATTATGTATCTATAGTTCGGAATCATTTGATGCTAAAGAATCACCGGTCAGTACATCAATACTATGTCTATACCAGATATTAGTGGCAATGATGTCAACACCCAATTGGCGACAAAGGCCTGAGTGTCGAGAAGTGTTGGCCAAACATAACGAGTGGGGTATCAATAAAACCGTTGTCTCAAATTATGAAGAATTTAATTTAGTGTTAAATACACTTAAAACTAATGATAATTCAGTTTTCTATGAGATTTTGTTTCGTAAAACACAGTAATAGATTATACATTATAATCATATAAACTACATATGATTACTAAAATGTCATTGTAATGTTTAATTTTTAACCACAATTCAGTATGAATAATGTGGTTTATAGGATCGTTTGGCCCCCTTCC